TATACAAAATCAAGATAAATAAACCGACTCAGCTTCATTATAGACTGGTCCGTGTTGGATTCCTACCTTTCGCGCAAAAAATATAAAACCACCAACGATATTTTGTCCCCAGAAAAATAATCTAAAAGACAGAGAAAGGTCTACCCCAAGCAATAACTCGTCTTCAACCTCTCAATTATTCTCCTTTTAGGGTTTGCCTGAATTTCAACCTTCCCCTAAAAAACACAGTTATTTTCAATGGACGATCCTATATTAAGTAATCAACGTATCAAATCAGCTCCGGCAACTCCAAGTCGCAACCTCCCGTCGTCCACAATATCTGACTCTTCCCTCCGTCTCCAAAACATCCCGTCTCGAACAATGCACATTAACCGGCTGCTCAACTCCAACTACAACAGCTCCCCGTCGCGCACAATTTATTCTGATAGGTTTATCCCCAGCAGATCGGGATCCAATTTCGGCCTTTTTGATATCTCAAATTCTCTGACCTCAGCTGAAGGAAAAGAAGATGGTTCCGGTTCTTATCACAGGCTTCTACGAGCCGCGCTTTTTGGGGCCGATACGCCAGACAAGAAGGATTCATTGGCACCTCCGGCTTGCCGTAATATTTTCCGGTATAAGACCGAAACTAAACGAACATTGCACTCGCTTTCACCTTTCGGGCTTGATGAATCGGTTTCAGGGATTAGTTATAGCCCCGTTAAGGCTCCCAGGAAAGTTCCCAGGTCATCTTACAAGGTGAGTTGTTTTTTTAATGGTTTTCACTGTAAATTTGGTTGCCTTTTTTTTAGGGGGTTAACGTCTGTTATTATATTTTCGTAGGTTTTGGATGCGCCTGCATTACAAGATGATTTCTATTTGAATCTGGTGGATTGGTCATCTAATAATGTGTTGGCTGTGGGGTTGGGGAATTGTGTTTATTTGTGGAATGCTTGTAGTAGTAAGGTTACCAAGTTGTGTGATTTGGGGATTGATGATAGTGTGTGTTCAGTTGGTTGGGCTCAACGTGGAACTCATCTTGCGGTTGGGACTAGCAACGGCAAAGTTCAGGTTTAATTTTAGTAATACTTGATTATAAAAACCGTTATGGTGCCAACAAGTTTAGTTCCTCTATCTGTGTATACTTTCTTTCTGATTTTTGCTGTGTTACTTTTAGGATTTTACAGCTAGATAGTATATAGTTTAATCATGTGATTGGTAATGCGTTGAGTATAACTAAGAATAAAAGCACTAGTTCTTAACTGATGCAGTAATGTTCTCAAAGTTGTTTCATAAACAGGGGTGGAAGAATGCATGCGAAGTTTGAAAGCTTTATCTCCCACAGAAAAGTATTGTTGAATTGTAAAAACAATATGAAGATTGAAGAGTAAATATTTATGGTTACACAGTTGATTTAGCTGGCAATTCATATTTTTTATTTTTCTATGGAATTGTTCTTGAATTTACTGATGATTTTACATGATATTTTCCTTCATGTGATTATATAATAGTTAACTTTCTGATTTAGCTTAGAAAACTTTAACATTGTAGTTAACTATTTGGATGAATAAGAGGTAGAGAAAAAAGCCTTAAATTTGGTCAGAATCTGCTTCAATGATCAGATTAACGTGACCCAAAAATAAAAGCTTCTATCCATAGTTTATGGATTTTGGCCAGAGGGAAACTAGAAAAATGTTCAATGGTCTTTTCAGATGCAAGCATGAGAAAATTTGGGACTGAGTATTTCTATTTTATTAGTATTTTGAAATCTCATTTTAACCTCCTCATGTAAGGAAAATGCATTCTTTAATTGCTTCTAAGAATTTTATTACTTTAAATTTTAAAACTTAGGTCTGGTCTTTTCCTTGCATATTTGGGCTTTAATAAACTGACGTTAATCAGTAACTTCATGCTTGTACCATGGTCATGGAAGGTGACGATTTCAGCCCTGCCTTGGGCTTGAGAGATAATCTTTCCTCACTATTTCCTTTGCACTAGACTTATAATTTCTTTTAAAATCCGACTTCCTGCATTTTGTTTGTAGGATAATGTAGTTAATTTATGGCTATCACTTTGTATGTAGATTTGGGATGCATCTCGCTGCCAGAGGGTGAGAACAATGGACGGGCATCGATTACGAGTTGGGGCCTTAGCATGGACCTCTTCTCTGTTATCTTCTGGCAGTCGTGATAAGAGCATTCTTCAAAGAGATGTACGTGCTCAGGATGATTTTGCTAGTAAACTATCTGGTCACAAGTCAGAGGTTAGACTCTAATCACTCATCAGTTTGATTCAAACAATTTTGTTTATGTATCTATGGATATTATTACAACTGGGTTTTTTCTCTAACACATGTTTCTTATATGTATGCCCTTCGATTTCATAAATGCCTCTTTTTTTCATGTTTTATCAAGAACTCATGCTCTCATGCTAGTCATGTTTTGGGGAAATTACATGTGCTACCCATCATTATTGTGTTCATTCATGGCTCACGCTATATGCTCATGTTCTGAATTCCAAATCTGAATAACTGTTGGGCATTATGTAGGTTTGTGGACTGAAGTGGTCTTATGATAACCGTGAACTGGCATCGGGTGGAAATGACAACAAAGTATGTAACATTTATTTTGCCTATCTGACTTATTCCAAGGCTGCATTGACTTTAAAACTGATTGAATGGAAAATCTCATCTATATGCAGCTTTTCGTTTGGAACCAACATTCCACTCATCCTGTCCTGAAATATTGTGATCATACTGCTGCTGTAAAAGCAATTGCTTGGTCTCCCCATCTGCATGGCCTTCTTGCATCTGGGGGTGGTACAGCTGATCGATGTATTCGATTCTGGAATTCAACCACAAACACTCAATTGAGCTGCATGGACACTGGCAGTCAGGTGATTTTTTTGTTCTTATCATATCATGTCCCTTAACCATGGCCTTAAATGTACATCAAATGGACTTATAGCCTATAGGTGCATAAAATTTCTTCCTTGACTTGATATAGGTGATCTTTCTCTATTTAGATTGAATTTTTATATGATGAATGCGCTGTCATTTGCATGGTGCTCTAAGTAATTATCCTATCAATCTACAATGCAGTAACCTGATGTGGATGCCTTTATTGAAAAGCAATATCAGGGAAGGAAGGCAATAAATATATTGAGGGCAGTAAATTAGAGTTTTATTTGTTTCCTCTCTTACATTAGATTCTTATTTCCTTTATAGGTTTAGTTTTGCTAGTCAAGATCGTATATATTAGGGATCTTTTTTTCCATTAGGATTATTTCCTTTGTCACTGGCCTATTAAAGGCTCCTCATATTGAATAAAGAAGACAAGCAATTACTCTATTAGAAAAAGTTATTCATAGAGGGGGTTCTGTAAAGGACGAATCTGCTTCTTTGATTAACCGTAGGTCAGATCGGAAATTATTTTACGTCTAGGCCTGTGACTAGATCCTACGCTAATGCTCATAACATGACCTTGTCATTAATGAGAGTAGGAAAATTTTAATTTACGTATCTAATTTTAAGGTCTCCTACATGTTCATGGAACATATCCATGGAAAAGCTTTATTATAGTAATTAACATAAGACAGTTACAAGTTCCTTTTCGCCTGACAGTGCTTCTTAAGACTAGTTACAAATTCTAGATGCTTATAATGTCTGCTCTACGCATGGCAGGTCTGCAATCTCGTGTGGTCTAAGAATGTTAATGAACTTGTCAGCACTCATGGATACTCCCAAAACCAGATAATTGTTTGGAGATACCCTACGATGTCAAAGGTATAAGAAGTTTAAAAACAGCATATACATGATCATAATCTCTCATCTACTTTTTGTCCTCTAAAATTTTATTCTACTAATACAGTTGGCTACTCTTACGGGCCACACATACAGAGTCCTTTATCTTGCAATCTCACCTGATGGTCAGGTTTGTAAACTTCCCATGCTTTATACTTACCCTTGGCTTCCACTTCTTGATTTAGATAAAAGTATTAAAATATATGAGAAGTTCTGCAGTTTTATTTTCTCTTTATTTATACATCAATGCTCTTCTTGTGTTTGAAATGACCCCCCCTTTTTTTTTGCAGACAATAGTTACGGGAGCTGGAGATGAGACGCTGAGGTTTTGGAATGTGTTCCCTTCCCCTAAATCTCAGGTAATGAGACTTGGAGTCCAAGCTATCAGATAAATTTTGTAGTCTTCTTTTTCCGACCATTTAATCCGACTTTAGTTTGAACACCACTCTCATAAATTTACTTTTTGTTTGTGGGGATTGTAAGTTACTTCATAGGGAGCAGAGGGGATAAAGTAAAGTAGTTTTGATTTTGTACTGTTTAATTTCTGCTTTTAATTGAAAAGTAAATGCTGCATTATTCCGTTGCTTGCCTCTAAATCACATCAAGTTCTTTCAAGATCTTCTTCTTTCTGGTCTGCTACTACCCAATGGCCTATAGAAGCAACTCATATATTTGTGGACATGATCTCTAATGCAGAACACAGACAGCGAAATAGGAGCATCATCTTTGGGAAGAAGCACAATTCGCTAATTCGAAGGAACTGTGCTGTAATCAGATTTTCACATGCTTGTGAGCATTCTCATGCTCTGAAATATCAAATTCAAAGGAATTCCAGCTGGGGCAACAATTAATTTATTGATCCAATTTTCATTTTGATTAATGCATAGAGTTGTTACATCCCTTTGTAAATTAAAGAGGTCGGGGAGTAAGTTAGCGTAGCACGTTTCTTTGTGTTTTGTAAATAAGTTCATCCCATTCAAGCTATTTTTCATTTCATATATATTCTATTTTTAAATGATGAAAGGAGTTCCGAATTTTTCTCAAAGAAAATAACGAAATTAAATTCTTGAGATGTTTTTCTTTATTTGTTTAGAAAAAAAGAAGAAGCATGACATCATCAACTTAACTAAAGTAATTGAAAATTTTAAACGGATATAAAAATCTTCAAAATGAATTGAAAATAGGAGTTTATTTAACCCATCGCATTCATGCCGAGTCTTTCACTTCCAAATGTTAATACTTGTGGTAATAACGTGAGTGCAGGTGTTGAAGCTTCATTAATTCAAAGCGATTAAGCAAGCAACAAATATCATAAAAGTAGGGTTTTTAGATATTTCTTCTCTCAGGTGGTCCTATACACAGTTCCGTCACCACCTCCATGCTGTGAGTTTGGAGCTCATCAGATAAGCTTGTGGACGATGATTCTAGTGGTGGCATCCCACGCTGATAATCATAATGTTACAAAATATCGCCAAAACAAAATCTTATTATCATGTAGGAAGATTAGAGACCAAATACCTTCTCACGCAGATTTGCATTTTCTTCCCCAAGGCGCCTCTCCTGAATCAATGCAAATTTTTCTGTTAAGCATATATAACCTTTTTTTTTTTTTGGGAAAACAAGAGCATGCAAAATGGTTCACCTCTTCCTTCTCGATCTGCTCCAAAAATACCTGATTCTGCAACACATTAAAATGATGTCTTTAAGATGTTTTCAGTAATATTACATTAACTAGATTTTGTCACACCATATTCTTATATGTAAATATTTATAAAATTTATTTAACAAGTGATCAGAGAAAAAAATGTCAAATTAAAGATCTATATATATAAATTCACTAATCATACGTTTGTACCATAAATAGTGGTCTATGAATTTGCCTGTACCTTTCTTTCCCTAATTCTGCATAAGCTTCGTTCCAGTTGGTTTTCTAACCGTTGCAGATCTTCAACAGAACATGGTTCTAATCCATGTCCCAACAGTTTCCTGTTATAAAATTATGAAACATAGAGGTTTACACATGAAGATGAAGAAAAGAGATTCCAAATATGAACTTGCAGTTTAAGGATCTAACCTTTTAGAATCTTCCAGAAATTGGGTCTTCTTTGCCATGCTGTGAGCTTCTTCCTTCACATTCTTCACGTACATGCAAATTCAATCATTACATACTGAATCACAAACCTCCATGCATGTACTTGGTCCTCACTCAGTTTTCGTGTGTATATAGAGTCATTGATGACTTTGCAAAAGATGTAAATAAGAAGCAAGAAAATATATATATTGGAGTGGAGCTATATACCTGCATATTTTGCCCTACTGCTTTGCTGCTGATCCCATAAGCATCTTTCTCCCTCTTTTGATATCGTTCTATGGTTTTGTTCATACTGAAAGCATCTCAAACCAAACAAAATAATCACTGCAATGTTACAACTTTGATTTTTGTCAAACACTCTCCATTTCCATTTTTATAATATTTTTCTCTATAACACTCTTAAAATCTCTCATCTTCTCCATCTTTTCTTCAAGCTTTCCACCAAACATTTTCAAGATTCTTCTCTCAATCTCGTTTTTTTTCTTCCTAAATCTCAGGTAATTTTTATGATTTCAAAATATAAATTCATATGATTTTTCTTTTTAGATTTGCATTTTAATCCCTCTACATGAGAATTCAAAATCTATGTCATTTTCTAACCATATTCACTACAAAAACGATGAAATTTGATTTTCAAAATTAAAATCAATTTTTTAATTCATTTTTATGGTTTCAGATCATATTAGAAGATATATAAACTTGTTTGCACAAACTCAAATCATACTTTTTAAAAAATACTTGAAGATTTAGTACGTTGAAAGGATGATTTTAGGGTGATTTGTTTTCTAATTAAAAAAAGTAAGAATTTTAGTTTTAATGTTGTTTAAAGGCTTGGACTTGTTGTAAATGACGTTTTGACTGTTGGAAAAATATGAATGAATTGATTTATTCAATTATGACTATTCATGAAAAATAGTTATTTCATTTCACCCCAAAAGTTATGTATTTTCATGTTAACCTTTTGATCAAAAGGTTATAATTTTTAATCAAATGGTTAAGTCATTTCATTTAAAGGTCTTAACATTTCAATACAAATTCCTCTCCCTAAAGGCTTAGTTGTGACACATCTCAAAACACAACCTTTTACTATTTTCTTTCAAATAATTTCCTTTCAATTCTCCGATTCTTCCAAAGTCATTTTCCAGTGATAGATAAAGATAAAGATTGTGTTCAATTGTTTACTACAGTTGTGCTTACTGTTGTGAACGTTTGTTGTTGTATCCTGAGAGACCGACATCCAACGTTACTCAAAACACCGATGAGAGGACGAATCTGTCTTAAGAAAACTGTTCATTCATGCCTCAACAAAACTCTTCTCTTATTTATTCAGTTCCATCCGATTACATGATCTATTTTAATTTCACATTTTTAACTTTATTATTGAAACGAAATTTTTAGATTATAATACTACAACACTATTTTTCAATAATTTGCAACAACCTTAAGACAAATTCCTTGTGTTGTAGTTCAATCTAAACTCAAACAGATTATCGTGGTAATCTATTTAGGTTAATATATATTTCGTTTCATATTATATTTATTATTTCGGTTTTGATTCCGATTACAGAAAAATGTATGATACTTCATCTAATTCATAATCTAATGTGATTGTCACTACACAAACTCAGGCTGCGAGCCAAACGTTACCTATGACCATGAGTCATAATGAAAAGCCTGCGAAATTCAATGGAGAGAATTTCAAAACATGGCAACAAAAAATGTTGTTTTATTTTACGACATTTTTTTATAGAAGTTGGAGGTCTCATTAAAAACTCCCTTCGTATTTGTCCAAATACTAAGACGTATGTTAACGATCATTGGAAGGAAGAAAAGAGTACCTCATTGTTTATTAATAATAATATCGAATACATATGGAAACATGAAATATCCTCATATGGAGAAATACAACATTACAACAAAACAGAAACACCTAAAATCTCACATCCTCAACCGGAAACCCCATCGACAATCACCATGTTTCTAAATTACATCTCCAGCAAAAGGAAAAAAACAACGCAAAAGAACATAACACAAAAGAAAACCAACACATGCAACCATTTCAACTAAATCAAAGCCCCAATTGAAGAACCAAAATCTAAGGAGTATCGTCTTCGTCAGGGACCCAAGAATTTGGTTTGAAGGAAGGCTCAATCTCATGCACCATGATTTTGAAGGAGTTAGCACCTACCTTCAACTCCAAGGACTTATCCATTCTCAAATGAGCCTTTGTAAGGATTTGAATTTTTGCCCGATCAAAAGATGATGGTGACTGACAACTTTCGTCGATTGCTAATAAATTACCCCACTTATCTGCAATGTTTTTGAAAGTATCCCAATTCCAAGCGTAAAAAGATACTCCCTCGCAAACTAACCACACTCGACGACATTCCACTACCAGACTCTCTGACCAGGCTTCAACTCTGGAGAACCACTTTGCGAGAGTCTCTGATTTATCATTCTTCACAACACTAAATGAAGCGGAGTCTTCAAAAATCATTAATATTGCATTTCCAATATCTCTCATTAACGAGAAACCAATGAGACCTTTAGCTTGCAATTGACTAGCGAGATTACCGATTTTGATAAAGTCCTTACACTACCCACCACCCCACTAGACATTTACTCAACACGTGAAGTTTATCCTCTTCCTTAACACCTTCAACTTCACAATGATTATTCCTCGAAACAACTTCCATCCCCGCCTTGCTGTGAATAGTTATCGAGGTATTTCTCCAAAAAGACTATTGAGGTTTAAATTTAGCCAAAGAAACACAAATTTTGTTGTTGTCAATATAAGAATCATTCATTTCTGATATTGCTTTCCTTGCTTCTTCGATTGTTGCAAAACGAATGAACCCAAAATGAACCCTTTTTGAATTTCTTTTATTCGGAATAAAAGCATCAATTACACAACCATGGGTGCAAAATAAAGATCCAAACCTCTTTCAATGGATCTTCTCTGATAAATTTTCAATAAATAACGTGTAAAGTCCAATCCTATACCCATTACTTATTTTTGGATGGCCTTCCACCAATTATTAAACCCAATTCTCCCACTTCTTGCTACATCACCAGACTTTTCATCACAACACCCCTTTGTGTTGAACTCCTTGGTTCCATCATGGAAAACCACTGCAGCAGTTTGAGCTGGTGATGTATCCTTATTCACTGACGATGCCTGCAAATGAGATCTCTTTAACTTATCCTTACTCGACCTCGACTTCACCTGAACACCTCCCATTCCACCACCGTGATAATTCCCTAATCTAAAATCACTTGCTGCTTGGTTCCTCCTAATGTCGCTCAAAGATCCGCTCAATCGATGCTTTTGATGACTACCAGAACCACCATTGACATTTTCCTTCGCAACAGGTGGATATTTCCATTCACCGTAGGAAACCAAAGCATACTAAGGATTCTTTTTGATACAATCAATGCAAGTTTTATTTCCCGGCTGTGTTTGTAGAACCCGTAGTCACCTCGTAGCTACCTTCTTTGAGCCATAATTCTTGAACGTAGCCATTAACCGTAGTCTGGGCTCTCCATTGGTTAATCCCAAAGGTGGGAAGGCATAAAATATCCCCGAGAGCAACTTACCTCGGATCCAGGATGATCCAACGGCTACCGAAGGAGATCAGAATATTCCAAGCTGCTGTAATTTTCGTCATTTTTGTGTAGATGGGGGTTTTTTCTTCAGAAACCGAACTTAGTTCTGAATTCCCAGTGTCGGAGTGTCGACCAAGGTTGTTTGTGACTCAAAATCACCATTGACGGCAGTTAATGCGATGGGCCTCAGCTTAGATATGCTTTTATATAGGCTCTGTCTCATGAAACAAAGCCTAAATCCTTGTTGCCGGCATCGATACGAGCAGACTGTGAAGTTTTGATAGTTAACAGCCACCAGTGATGGCGGTCGGCGTGGCATCTGACGACGGTGAAGGCGAGGCCTAGAGAAAAGGTAGAGGGAGTCGGGGTGGAAAAAGAATATACACCAATATTAGATCTCCTAAATTCAAGAGAGAATCTGGCCAAATTTTTTAAGGATGATTCTCTTACTATTAGAGATGATGAAGTAGATGCTACAACTGCATTCAACATTAACGAAGCATGGAAGCACTCTATGCTGTAACTACATCTTGAATGGTTTATCTGATGCACTTTATGAAGTATACAGCGTAAAGAAAACAGCTAAGGAACTATGGGAATCATTGGACCATAAATACAAAATTGAAGATGCTGGTGCTAAGAAATTCTTAGTTGCCAAATTCTTAAACTTTGTAATGGTTGATTCTAAAACTGTTGTGAATCGGAGCAAGAATTCCAACTGATCATTCATGGTATTCTCGTAGAAGGGATGATTACAAGTGAATCCTTTCAGGTGGCGACCATTATTGAAAAACTTCCGCCTACTTGGAATGACTTTAAGAATTATCTTAAGCATAAGAGAAAAGAAATGACAGTGGAAGATCTGATTATGAGACTTCGAATTGAAGAAGACAATCGATGTGCAGCTAAAAGGCTAAACAAAACAGGCAATCATAACATTGTCAAGGCAAATGTGGTGGAAGTAAAAAAGGACTTCAAGAAAAGAAAGCAAGCTAAAATTGAGTCTAAACTAGGACCAAAAGGTGGTGTTTCTAAGAAGCAAAAATTCCAAGGGAAATGCTTTAATTGCAATAAGATGGGACACATGTCATCTGAATGTAGGCTTCAAAAAAGGTCAAGAACAAAATAGGCTAATGTTGTGACAGAAATTTCCAAGGAAGTATCTGAACTTGAATTATGTGTTGTGGTCTCTGAAGTTAACTTGGTTGATTCAAATCCAAGAGTATGGTGGCTTGATACTAGTGCCACACGTCATATTTGTTGTGACAAGGACTCCTTTGCTGAGTTGGTTTCTTGTGAGAAAGGAGAAAAACTATGGGCAATGCTACAACTTCCAAGATCAAGGGGAAAGGCATTGTAATTTTAAAGATGACTTTTGGAAAAGAGTTGAAACTTCAAAACGCGTTGTATGTGCCTGACATACGAAAGAACCTTGTCTCTGAGAGCCTCTTAAGTATACATGACTGTAGGATAGTGTTTGAATCCCAGAAATTAGTTTTATCAAAAGGGGGAATATTTGTGGGAAGGGGATATGTATTGAACAATATGTGGAAACTCAATGCTATCTCTGTAAAAGCTAAAAATATAAATAAAAATGATTCTTCTTCTTATGTTTATATGATTGAGTTATTTAAATTTACGGCATGGTAGACTCGGAAATGTTAATTATGATACTTTATGTAGATT